ACTTTCAACAGCTAGTTGATACCAGGCTATTATGGGTTTGAATGGAGTCCTCGGTGGATACCCAATGCAGTGGAATAATGGCAGGCACATCTTACAGATGACAAGCCAATGGTTGGTGGACAGATCAGCTTCATGGTAGGTCCTGGTGTCAAGGACATGCCCCCCACATCGGATGTGCAATTAATATGTAGTCCAGCAGATGTTATTGCTTGAATCCAGCATGCATTCATAATGTTGTGTGGATGTGTCGATGCCAGAACAGCATATTCGTAATTACAAGGCCATGGGCTGTACAGAAATCAAGTAGAATGCTACCGTTGGTATTGAGCTGATCTGGCCCATGCTTTACAATCACTCCAGCCCAAGTGCCTGTGTCATGACTCATTCAGGCATTAAAGTCACCGAACAGGATGATTCTATACCGAGGGGCCACTTCAGCCAGTATTTGTGATCTGAGGTCAAAGAGGCATCTCAGTCATCAGCCTTGCCTTGCATTTCTTCACTGATGTTCATTTTTGGTGTGGAGGCAAGCCGACAATAGCATGCGATCATGAGACCTCCTTTGCCAGTAGCAAAATATAAGTTTCTTTACCCTTTTTTCTGGCAACAAAACTGAAACCTTTTTACGAGGAATCATGTTTACATTAACCACAATACCTGCAGTCAAAATGCAAACAAAAAACGCACTCTGATAATGTATGCACTGTCCTGTTTGCATTTTGACTGCAGGTGTTGTGGTTAATGTAAACATGATTCCTTGTAAAAAGGTGTCAGTTTTGTTGCCAGGGTAAAAAAAATATATTATTATATTTTGCTACTGGCAAAGGAGGTCTCATGATGTAAATGCTTACCCCGTGCCATCAATACTCTGATTGTGCGTTGTCTTTGAGTTGTGCGCCTTTTGGCGTCATCTGGTCGAACACCATATGAGACTGGGCTCTAACAAAAGCTGTCTCTGGTGTGGACCAATCAGTTTCAAGGACAGTACATACATTATTAGTGTTTTTTTTGCATTTTGACTGCAGGTATTGTGGTTAATGTAAACATGATTCCTTGTAAAAAGATGTCAGTTTTGTTTTGCCAGAAAAAAGGGTAAACAAAACGACTATTATAATAGCATGAGACTCAGCTTCCCAGACCTCACTTCCACGTTCATACACGCCCTTAATTCTTTGGTTCAGAAGCAGAGCTATTTCCTGTTGTTTGGCAGTTTCTTGCCCCTGGTGCAGGAAAGTCCATCCCCTCGTGATGACTGGAGCCAGAGCCAGTCCACCAGACTTGTATTCTACAGAGGTCCAGGCGGTAACGGTCCAGAGGAATGGCAGCCTCTCCTCCGCTGTGAGCTTTTGAGTGTCCTATGTGTCTACCCGCAGTGGTTTTATGCTGTTTATAGAGGAGCACCGAGGGTGGAGGTTCAGTCTTCTTGCTCCACCAAATGTGGTTTTGCCAGATTTCATAGATGCCTGTGCCATTGGGCCTCCAGCACAAGCTTGTTATGATCTTTATTCGTGGGTTTGTGGTGATTTAGTTGACAGTGGAGGGGTTACCAGCCCCTATCACCTGTCTCCATTCCCTGTCGGCTACTGTACTATATTGTATATGCGTTCTTTAAAAAAATGTGCAAAAAATGTTTGCACAACAATTAAACTAGGAATGCACACAGTTAAATGGACTATTTTGAGATGTAATATTGCACTGTACATGTGTAATAAACGTCTCCGACACGGGTTAAACTTCAGTTGTATTTATTCTTAAGTTGCAGTACAGCACGTGTCTCCCTCGTTCCTTCGCTGCCTGCTTCTCTCTTGCCCTCGGGACGCGGCTCACGCTTGCCTCACGCCGCCGTGGCACTCCCACTCTCTCCGCCCCGCCGCTGGCTGACAGCGTGTCGGAGAGAGGGGAGGCTCTGCTGGTGGAGCCCGCCACGTGGCTGATGGAGGGAGCGCAGGCGGTGACGACGTTCAAACCCAGGCTCTTCACACCGACGACCCCGAGTCCTCTGCTCCTTCTGCTTATATCCCGCCTCTAGCCACACCCCTCTCGGAACCTTCTAGAGGGCTCTCGAGGCTTCCCGCTAGCTCCGCTCATTTACCTTTCACCCAGATGGGATCCCCCTTACTGATTGGATGTGAGACAACATAGCACATATCTGCAATAACCCCCCGGTCATCCTGTAGGTGACTATTGTAAGTGGCGCCCTCTCATTACACATGTAGAGCATATACGACTGAAAATTCCTCTGTCACGTGCAGGGGAGCGGTCGCGCTATGGTTAGAACATTCCACTATTAAACCTAACCACATGAGTTTGATTCTTGGCCATGGCTAACATTATGGCGCATGGTGCTGTGAACCCGGCGACCCCAGATCAATTCCTGCTCACGGCCAATACCAGTGATGATTATCTGAACCGGTCCTAGGCCTCCCCTAGGTCGACCCAGCCTCAAATGAGTACCTAGTGCGGTGTGTAAACATCGCCACTAGTGAGGCAAAGGCAGCCGCGCATGGTGCTGGCAAAGCACCCCTCGTGTGCCATACCGGCCTTCATAGGTGCTCGCTAACAACACTTGGCCCAATAGTCTGTTAAGGCTATACGGGAGATCTTTGTCTAGAGGAGGGGGGGCAGAGATATGTGTGCATGTGAAATGACACCGACGACTGTCTACTAAGAGCCTCTTCATTTAGACACAACCACAACACTATGCCCGGGCTTCGTTCTTGCTCTTGAAACTCTTCCCTTCTCTCCCACGTCCCCTCTCCTCGTGTTCTCTTCTTTTATCCTTCTTGAATCCCCTTTCTTGAACTTTCCCTCACTGTTTTTACCGCAGCCAATCTCTGTCCTTTTCCTCCAACGGTTCCCAACTGTCGCCTCCGAGTTCCACCGTTTCCCACTTTTCCCGTTGAAATACTTCGTCCAATCTCTTCAAACCCCGCCTCCTGACCAATCATTGTGGGGGCCTCTTTCCACCAATAGGAGGCCCTGGCCTACCTTTTGAACGATAGTTTGGCTGCACATTGGTTTGGGGTGTCTCTTAATTTCAGTCATTACACGTGTAATGTAGCACTCAGAGACACTGTCTTGTTGAATTATACATATATATTTATTATCTATTAAGGTCTGCCCGACTTACTGATATTTTAATGGATAACCGCAAAATGACTATGTACAGCTGGGTAACTTATGTAACTGCTACATGACGTTTCTTATGTAGTTGGCTGATTAGATAGGAGCGAAGGCGTAGCAGCCACGGACACAATATATAAACCTTCCCTAGCCTTCCAAGATGATGAAGACGACCCACTCCAAGATGACGATGGCAATGACGGTCTCTTCGAACCCCCATAGCAGCAGCCCAGAGCCCTGCTCCACGCCGCCTTTTATCCCCCTTTCGGACTCGGCCACGCCCCTTTTCCCGAGCTCTATCTTACCTCAATTGGCCCTGTCTCTGTATCCTCAATTATTATTTATGACCACTTAGGTCCCGTACTATCCTTACTTGACCCTGTCTGTTCCCGCGTCAATTATTATTTACGGCCACGAGGCCCTGTACTGTCCTTACCCTTGTGTAGAGGAGCAGTTGGCGATGTGACGTCATTTGCACGGTGAGGCACGATGACATCATGCCACGGGGGATACTTAAAGGGGACCCCGTGAAGAAAGCGTGGGAGCCGGGGATGGTGAGCGGCTGAAGGGGAGCCGAAGAGACAGCCAGGGGTAGGACTGATAAGGGTCTGCAAGAGCCGGCTCGGTTTGCGTGAAGTGCTGGTCTCCTCGGTCGGGCGGTGTTGGTTGAGCCCCCATCTCGACCTGAGTCAGAGAGCCCAAGAGATAGCCGAGCTAGGGGCCAAGAGAGCCTGAGGTCCGGGTGAAGGGCCAAGTATAGGGACACCTATCTCTGGTGTGTCGTGTTAACCTGTGTTTAATAAACCGGCGTAAGCCCTTACCAGAAGATCTGCCTCCGAGTCGTCGTGCACTACACAACACATGTATGAGAGACGTCGAGAGAGAGCGTGAGAGGGCTGTTTGATTGAATGGAGAGAGGGGGTGATATAATAGGGGATCTTGCACTGTGGTTCTTCATTAGGTGTTACATTTGATGTTTTTTTTTCCGTTTTTTTTTATTTTCCAGTAATTTGCATTTCTCATGTTAAAAAAGTTATTCAAGAGTGGAACATTTTGGGACTGAAATGGGAGTCAATGGGGATGAAGAGAATATCTGCATCCCCCTATCTTAGGGACCTTGAGGGGATATATGGGTGCAGCATGTCAATGATGTAGGCTGGGGAAAGATGGTTCACTGCTTTGTAAGTTAACAATAGGATTTTCAACTATATTCTACATGAAACTGGAAGCCAGTGGAGAGAGGGAGGCCAAAACGGTTGTAATATGATGTGAAAAGGTGTTCTGGTTAACACCCTCGCATTATGAACATGCTGCTAATTGATTGACTGACTTGTGGTTTGAAATCGCATTTTACATTCCGGTTCCTTCAAAAACGTTAAACATGATAAAAAAAAAGAGTTCACTTAAAGCTTTCGTGACTGCAGGAATTCATATTATTTGGGTATTTCGGTAAAGCAACGTAGATAGAATAAAATAAGCAAATATATTTTTTATGTTTTTTTTATTTACATGGCTTTACCGAAAGGCCCAAAGAATAAGATATATAACGTTTGTAAAACATACTGAGCAAAATCACATTCCACAACAGCTTTTTATTTGAAAGAAACCCGCCAAATTGCACTTAAAAATAGTTCACGCCCGCCAGCTTTATAACACCGCCACCATACCACCGCCGTGCTCGCGTTTAAAGTCCAACAACAGAACATTCCGAACGGCTCCACAGCGGCGACCGCGGAGCGGGGGGGGGGCGGGGGGGGCGGGGGGGGGGGCGGGAGGGCGGGGGGGGGGGGGGGGGGGGGGGGGGGGGGGCGGGAGGGCGGGGGGGGGGGGGGGGGGGGGGGGGGGGGGGCGGCGGGGCAGGCGCCGCTTCCGTGGATGTCGTTCACGTGACTCGACAGCAGCAGCACCGCCACCACCGCCACCACCACCACGGTGCAGTTTCTCAGCGCTCGCTGTTGGAGGAGCCGGACTTGTTGCCGCTGCTCGGGGTAGAAGGAACCGGACTTGTTGCCGCTGCTCGGGGTAGAAGGAACCGGACTTGTTGCCGCTGCTCGCGGTAGAAGGAGCCGTCCACGCACACCGCGCGGGGTACAGGATCCCGCCCGCTATCGCCGCTGCTCGGGTAAGAGCGGAAGACGGCGAGGGTCCCGCGGTGACGGAGAGACGGCGGCGGCGGCTGGGGGGAGGTGCGCCGCGCCTTACGCCCCGCGGGGATGTCTGGGGTTGTGGAACGCGAGTGGGGGGGGGGTAAGATCCGACGGTGATTATCCGTCGGTTTCACCCGCAACGCCTGGGACCCGTCCCTGTGTCGTGACCTGCCGGCGGGCCTTCCCACACTTCGTTGTGCATCAGCGTGCACCTAGCCTGGCACGGCAGCGACGTCACCGGCGCGTCGTGGCGATTGCCGCTGTTGCCATCGAGCGGCGCGCAGTCCCCGTTTTGAGCGTTTAGGCTCGACTCGGGCTCTCCGGCCCCAGGCCACATTAGCCGCTGTAATGGGTAAATGTTGCCGTCTCGTGTGGCCGTCTCGTGTGGCCGGGCCCCTTGCTGCCCCGTGCGTCGTGCGCGTCATGTGGGGCCCCCCCATTGTGGTGCGCGTCGTGTGGGGGCCCCCCATTGTGGTGCACGTCGTGTGGGGCCCCCCCATTGTGGTGCACGTTGTGTGGGGCCCCCATTGTGGTGCATGTCGTGTGGGCCCCCCCCATTGTCGTGCACGTCGTGTGGGGCCCCACATTGTGGTGCACGTCGTGGGCCCCCCCCCATTGTGGTGCACGTCGTGTGCCCCCCCCATTGTGGTGCACGTCGTGTGGGGCCCCCCATTGTGGTGCACGTCGTGTGGGGCCTCCCATTGTGGTGCACGTCGTGTGGGGCCCCCCATTGTCGTGCACGTCGTGTGGGGCCCCCCATTGTGGTGCACGTCGTGTGCCCCCCCATTGTGGTGCACGTCGTGTGCCCCCCCATTGTGGTGCACGTCGTGTGGGCCCCCCCCATTGTGGTGCACGTGTCGCAGAGGAGGCGGTCCATGTGGGCTGTAGAAAAAAAAACAAATTGACGGAGAGAAAACCGGTCCGTGACAAAGCGCAGCAGGTAGGCACACAACAAAGAAAAACTCAACCACGACCGTAGTAGGTTTTAAGACGAGACGCAAATCCTGTTCGTGTTCAAAAGCAACGTCATCAGTTCCTGTGGAAGTGCATTGTGGTCCCCTTGTTAACGGCCTCCATCAAACTACTACAGCAGGGTGGTCCACATGTCTTGTGACACCCCCCACCCCAATTAATTGACCCTTAACGTTTGTTTTTTTCTGCACCCTGCCCCCCCCCTTTGCAAATCGACGTTCGTTTTAAATAGATCTTTAAAAAAATATATACGTGTGTAGGTTTTAGATAATTAAATGTGGGTCACAAGACATCTGGACCACCGTGCAGATGCAGTGAAAGACGCGTGGGAGGTGGGGGGGAGTTTGGCTTCATTAGAGCTATTCGTTGCTTAAGGGAGTCGGCATAAAAATTGGTATAATCTCCAAAATAAGATGTTTAGGCACGATTCGAAGCCTGTGTTCTGATTGTAAGACGTTATTGTGTTTGTTTTTGCGACGTCACCAGCCCTCCGCATCGCCGCGACTTAATAATTCACCTTTATCAACGCGTGAAGTGAATACATTCACTTGTAATACATTCACATGTAACACCGTACGTGTTGTCGGGAAAACCCCTCGATTATTCTCTCGTGGACGATTCCATGTACACGTGTCGAGATCGCAAGGGATAGATATCGATTTAAAGCTTTCGTGACTGCAATGATTCATCTTCTTTGGTTCTTTCGGTAAAGTCACGTAGAATGATAATAAAATAATAAATTGATAAAATAAAATAACACAATAATATTCTCACAGAATATTATTGTGTTATTCTCACAGAATATTATTGTGTTATTTTATTTTATCAATTTATTATTTTATTATCATTCTACGTGACTTTACCGAAAGAACCAAAGAAGATAGATATCGATCAAGGGAAACGGGGGTCCGTCATCACTCGACGCGGCGTTTAGCGAAAAAGCCGCAAAATTCGGAGCTTTGCACATCTCCAGCCAAATTGTTACCGACTTGTAATCGGCGATTTGTTTCTTCTTCCCACGGACGGAAATGCTTTGGCGAAGATTCCACATTCCTTTTTGCCGGGGGCGATCGACCGCACGCCACGACTACCGTTGATATTATTCTTGGTTCTTTCGGTAAAGTCACGTTGAAGGGAAACAATAAAGTAATAAAATACATTTAAAACAATAACATTCTCACGACGTTTTTTTTAGATGTATTTTTATTATTATTGTATTGTTTCCCTTCAACGTGGACTTTACCGAAAGAACCAAGAATATGAATCACTGCAGTCGCGAAAGCTTTAAATAAAATTTTTACTACTGTTGACTTGGGCCAAATCATGGGTCTGCAACCAAAATATGAACCATTTATACTGGTAGAAACGAAGTTGTAAACTGAGTGTACCAGCCTGCAATAGATTAATGTGTCCGTCCGTCCCCTTTCAATACTTTAACGAAGTGAAATCTCGTGCTGTTGGGGTGTAAAAATATAATTGCGCAAAATTCCAATGTTCCTACCAGCCCACCCTGCAGGGACCTGTTTTCGAATTAGATAACCCACCCCCCCCTCTCAATATTTCAAGAGCTGCATGCGGGCTTCAGAGCCCGCCTGGCCGCTAAGTAGACCTCCACCACCACCAGGGTTTGAATGCTTGCAAACTTCCGCTGTGGTGCAGCAACTCCCAAGCCGCGAGGGTCGAGTGCGGTGCTCACGCGGATTTCTCTGAGACGCGCACCCCCCCACCACCACCACCACCGAGCCCCGTGATGTTGGAGGCCGCTCTCTCTCTCTCTCGAGGGCTACCTGCATCCTGGTGGCAGTAGAGCAGCAGCAGCAGGGTGTCTGGGACTGGTGTGTGCTTCACGAGGTGCATTTAGGTTGTTTTATCGCCGGAGTAAAAGTCACGAAATATTGAGGTCGCCGTAAAGAGACCGTATGAAAGTGGAAGTCACCTTTGTGTTTAATACGGTGCGTGGAATATCGCCCGCAACAGACCTGAAAGTGAATGGCCTTTTTATAGATGGACAATAAGCATGGTTGCCGATGTATTGACAGGGAGTGATGAGCACATATACATACTCTTTGGTTCTATTCGGTAAAGTCACGTAGGTAAAAAATAAAAGAACAAAAATCACGACGTTTCGGCCATAACACAAGTAGCCTTCTTCAGGTGAAGGAACAGAACTGTCGGGACGACAGAGCTTCAATGAACGCTGCTCAGATTCATACTTTGCTAAGCAACTGTAGATATTTGTCAATGACAACTTGAAAAGCTGCATAAAAGTTCACCTAGGATGGCTATTGAAATCGGACCGCAATGAACATGGTTAAAGAGGCAAATTAGAGCAGATTGGAGTGCTTTTCTAAAATGGAATCAATGAAAACTAACATACTGTGACCCCCCCACCCAACTCCTGACCAGGGTATAATTGTCTCGATGGAATTAAGCATGCCATAATAGTGGCTTGCAGGTTCTGTAATGCACACGATCAGTGTTGTGCAATGTACTCGCTGAAGCAAAATTATATAGCAGCTTGTACAGCATATTTAATCATGTATTGCGTGATGCGTGGCCTACAGTATGTAAATCTCAAATTTTTTGGCTTTCACTATACAGCTTAACTTACTTTGGTTAATTTTCATTGTCGAGAAAGCACGTTGAGCTTGTTTTTAGCCAGAGAAGATTCCTATGTTTATGAGGGCCCCGCAGTATACGAGAGGATTTATGTCGCTATGACAGACAGGCATATGTGGAATTACAGTAAAGGGCGACACTACATTTTTTAAAGGATACACATAAATGCTTTATAAAAATGGGCTACTATATTAAATAAAGATAAAGTGCTACGAATGGGCGTCAAAGCTCAAACACAATGTATAGCCTCTGGTGTTGTGGTGAACCCGGAGTGCTCTACAGCATAACTATTGTCCATCTTGATTTAAAGCTTTCGTGACTGTAGGAATTCATACTCTTTGGGTCTTTTGGTAAAGTCATGTAGATAGGAAATTATTATTTATTTAACTAATAATGATTCTTTTTCTATCTACGTGAGTTTACCGAAAGACCCTAAGAGTTTTGTCCATCTGAGAGGGTATTAAAAACTTGCTTTTTAACAACACCATTGGCTCTGGTTAAAGTGCTTCACTCATGAATCGGCAATTGTCAGTTCACATCCCAGTCAGGGCGTGATTTATCTATTCATCCCTCCACGGATTATTAAATAGGTATCACTTTATTTTATTTGTATTTCTTTTCTATTATGTTGCTGCATTTCAACTTATTAAATGTAAACTGGAACGTAACCTCAGACTTTACTTTATTTCCTTTGGGGAAAATGTTCACTTGATGTTGTTCCGCTTGAAGTCACACTTCTTGGGAACGCAACTACGATGTTACGTGAGGACTCCCAGTATATGCGATGGAGTGATGGCATAGTGGTTCGCGCATTGCACTATGAACTTGGCAATATAAGTTTGAATCACAGCTACGGCTAATATCAGTGGTGAGTTATATTTGAACTTGTCCTGCTGCCCCCCTGCCCTCCAATCTGCACTGGCATGCATGGTGAAGTATGATGAACCAAACCTCAGAACACACGCAGTGGGGGAAGGCCTTCATCCAGTTGTGGAATAAGAGAGAGCTAGTAATTATAAGTGATATGATATGTATTATCTACACGTATATGTATATTTTAAACGAGATGAAAGCTTATTGAAACCAAAAGTCTTTAAAGGCATCAGAGGACACAAAACAATATGGCTAACATGCTTGTCATGCAGGATTATTGGGCACAATGGAATTGGCAAACAAATTGCTGAATCAACCCAAACAGTCAATTGCTCTTTCAGCTGTGCACACCACAGCAGCTTTACACACCTGGTCATGGCATTCTTCTGTCTTATGTACAGTGTGTTAATCGTGTGCCATATGTGAGCTCTTCTCAGGTCATTCTCATGCTCTTGCATCCCCTCAGTCTTCACAGTGAAGACTGTGCCTCCATCAATGAGTGGTGATAGAG